CCCCCGCTCGGGAGGCGGCCACCGGGCTGTTCCGAAATCCCTTAACTAGGGTAAAAATGAGGAGAAAAAAATAAAAACTACAGTAATAAATTTTCGGGACGGGTGCCCGGAGGCGGCTTGGGCAGGTGGGGTGTGGAACCTCGGCCGGGGAAGCGTGCGGCTGAGGCGGGGAGTTCTGTGAGGGAAGCGGGTGGGTGCCGGGCCTCGCCGCTCCCCGGCGGTGCTAAACGGCAGCTCCTGCGACCTTGCCCCGGAATTGTGAATGTGTGGACTAAATTTATTATTTTTTCCCCCTTTGTAAGTTGTTATGCCACGGGGATAGAATATCATGGAGGGAGGAGGTGGCGTCTGGAATATGGAAACATCTGTTATTACCACATTTCCGTGCAATGCTGGGTTCTTTTTTTAGCATTATTTATCTGTCACACGAGCGCTCTAAATTGTCTCACTGTTTTTTTTTCCCCCTCTCTTTTTTCTTTTTTTTTTTAATGCATGTGTAGAAGAGTCCTTATTGACACTGGGGAGCCAGCTACTCCTGAATATATTGGCTGTTTAAAGCAGGCACTGTCAGAGTTCAACATCTCAATTCAAGAAATTTTAGTAACACACTGGCATCATGATCATACTGGTGGAATACCCGATATCTGCAAAAACATCCCTAATGGTAGGACAGAGATTTCAGATATTGTTGAAAATGTTAGATACATGGCAAGAAAAAGCTTTTACTGGGTACTTCTGTGCAGATTGGCTGGATTATTCTTCTGGAATCTCCATATAAACTACATGTAATTTCATGATACTGTTGCAGTGTGTAGAATGAGAGCAATGAATAATCTGAATACTGTAGTTGTAGCACTACAGTTTTTCTTCAATACCTGTGCATACCTTCATAGTGAATTTTTCTTACGTGTGAATAATGAGAACCTAGATTACCATCAGCAGTTTACATGATAGTAAGAGATGTGAGAAGAACTTGAATGTTCTGTTCCAGCCAAGGCATTCACAGTTCATGCACAGTTCAGAACGATAGACGCTGAGGGAAGTTGCAGGTCAAAAAGCCTCCATCCAGTGTTAGGCAAATGTTGAATGGTGCTTCTGTGACTCATAATGGATAACGTGAGCGTAGAAATCTTAGTGTTTTTGTAGAAACTGGGGGTTTTGGCTCTTGATGCATCAAGAAGGAACATTTGTAAAATAAAATAATTACTGACATTTCTTTGTTAATTTCCCTTGTGCTTTTTCGTCTTCAAAATTGCTGTTGGGACAGAGTACAGTATTCAGATTCAGTGGCTTTCACTCTTCAGTGCTTGTGGCTCTAGAATAATGTTGCTTTATAAACATAAAGTTACTGTACAGAATTTCTTGTTTCTAGTTTTGTATTCATACTGTGTAATAATTAATAGTACTTGTTCAAAGAGTAGCTTTTCTGTGGAATTAGCTTTGTTAGTGAGAAATTCAAAACATCATTTTCTTTGCCTTCTTTAAATAGACTCTGAATATCGCATCTGTAAGCTTCCGCGTGTCCCTCACTGTGAAGAAATAATAGAAGGAGGACATAAATATTTTTATCTTAAAGAGGGAGATGTGGTACAGACAGAGGGAGCCACACTCAGGTAAACACCAATTTCTGCAAGTTTGCTGGATCACTTTTTTCTTCAGAATTCTGACACATGTATGTATCCTAACTTCTAATGATTGGCAATCCATACAGCCAGTCTTTTCAACATTTACGTGTGTAGACTTCCTATCATGATCCAGCAGAGTACGTTTATATGAAGAAATTGTTTTTACGAATGAAGATTATTAGGAATTAGCCTTTGGGTTTTGGCCTCAGCAGAGAAATTAAGAACATTTCCCTTCAGAAATATTTCCTCTGGGAAAATCAAATGGGATTTTACATACTTTCTCATCGCTCTAAGTAGTTTATTATTAAAATTGATACTTTTGGGGAAGTTTATGGTAGTCTGGATGGATTATTTAGCATGCTTTGCTTTTCACTTTAAAAATATTTCCTAAGGAGACACTAAAACATTTAATACTTAAAATGTTAAATTTTAAACCTTTAACCTGTCAGGTTCTTGAATTTGGGAGGGCTTCTTCCCAGAGAGCATATTGCCCGTCTTGTTAGCGTGAACGAGTCTGAAACAGAAAGCCACTCTGCCTCACACAAACACACACACACAATGAAAAGATCTGACGATTCTGTTTCCAGAGTTCTTTCATTAACAAGGCATTACTCTTCTAAGGACAAATTTTGCTTGTTTTCCTCAGTTTAGATGTGAATTATATCCCACGTGTAGAATATGCCAGTTGGCTGATTGGAATAAAAACCATAAAAATAAAGGATGTATTTGACCAAAAGCATTTTATTTTGTTAGTGTAAAAAAAAATACATGGAGAGTATTATATTGAATATTGGAGACCTATCACTACCTTAAGTGGCCCATGTTTGGACAAAATCAATTTAGAGATGGAAAACAACTTGTTAAATTTGAATCCAAGTAAGACAGGGGTGGCACATTTTGAAGTTTGGGGTAATGCAGCCAAACTTTATGCTTGGTTAAAAGCAGGTATTCTCACCTGGTTAATTCAGTAAACACCTCAAGGATACTCTTAGATCCACCACTGTTTCCAAAACAGCAGTGTCTGCATGTTAAATTTTAGTTAGCAACCTTCAAGTTTTCAAGGTGTGCCAGGCAGCGTTGGGTTCTTTTTCCTTTGTTTTTCCATGTTAGTGGTTAAGCTTCCTGGTAAAGTTTCATCAGGAACTGGAGAATGCCACTTCCTATAAAGGCAAGATGCAACCTATCAGCTTGATTTTTATGTTGCCTCCACAGGGCAATGGCTTACCTGCTTTCTGCTGAACTCAGTATTCAGTAAGAGCTCGAAGTCATTGCATCAGATGGTGCTGTGCTTCTGGCCCCCCAGCCCTGCACTGACATGGCTGGGTGCGGTTTAGCGTTGGCCTGTGCACCACGCTTGGCGCCAGCTCTGTCAGTTGCTGAGCACTGCTTTGATGCATCTGCCATTAATTCACCAGATTCTGATGAATTTCAGCAGTGATGCTGGTCTGAGTTGTGTACTTCCCGTTTGAATCAGCCTCAGCATGAGGCCTTCTGCCTTTCCAAAATTGTAGTGAAAGGACACTGCGGTGGAGCTCCTTAGTAGCTCAGGTTACTATGTATATATATATATATATCTACTGTCGGTTCACCCTTTGCTGCATTCTAATACAGTACTCATTCAAGTTGTGGGCTCCTAAATCCTTACCATTCAGATGTTTAATGACCTGCACATAGAACAGCTAGAAGACCATGATTCCTTGTTGTATCTTACAGCTCCATTACACTGTATCTTGGAGCTTTCAGGGAAAAATAAATTTCAGGAGACAGTATGTTATCTGGGTTGGGTCCAGAAGTTTATAGTTAATTTCTAAAAGGATTGACAACCTCTTTTGCTAAGTGCAAGGTGTATGTCAAGAACTTCACACATTTCAATCTGGAAATAACGTCGATTTTTCTCTTTTAAAGCTTCAGAGCAAAGATCTCTATAACACAAATTCTACATGACTAGCCAGCTCCCTTAATGCACTTTTATTATGATGTGTCATGTAAGTAAAAGTGTGTTAGAGATGATGATCTGTGTTCTCTACATGATATAAGAAAATGGAATGGGATTAGACAAAGTGATACCCTGTTTACGTTGACATTTCAGCCTTTTTTGGTCTATTTTTTTCTGGTTCTTGTTATGGGCTACTTTGTAAGTGTATGATTTTATCATTATTTGTTTCTAGCTCCTGCAAATGAAGCATATATGCTGTATGAAAAACTTATGCTTTTTGTTGTTCTTTAAACAGAGTTTTATATACGCCTGGACACAGTGATGATCATATGTCTTTACATCTAGAAGAAGAAAATGCGGTATTTTCTGGTGACTGTATTTTAGGGGAAGGAACAACAGTAATTGAAGACCTGTATGATTACATGAAAACTTTGCAAAGGTTGTTACAAATGAAACTAGATTTAGTATATCCAGGTAAGTGGTTCTATTTTTAACTGCTCTGTTTCACTATGTAATTTTAAAATATCTCCTCTAAGAATTTGAGAACCCTTGTTACAGTCAAACACCATTACAAACGCAACAGTTCAAGTTCATTACTTAATATATGTCCAGTGCTAAGCTAAGCTGACTTTATGGCATGGTGGTTTGCAAGACTTGAAAATTGTTCAGTGATAGATATTTTTCCTTCCTGAGATTTCTCCATTTGAGGGTGAATCTTGTGCTTCTGTGCTCAAAGCCTACAGAGGCAAGAATCTTTCACTGTTGGAATCATATAGCAAATTTGGTTTTCTTATATTACTCTATCCATGCACCTTAATGTTACCCTGGGAGAAAAAATAATAGCTGTTCTTTTGGTCCTTTGCATCCTCACATACACTGCCAATGTGAGTAACCTAGTAATGGTTTTTGAGAGAGATGTCTGTCCTTTGCAGTACAGATTAATTACAAATTCATCTTGGAAAGCTGCAGAACTGTCAAATGGTTGTCTTAGTTAATGGCTTAGCTTAAATTTGAGCAAGAGCCAAGAGGCCAAACATCATGTTCTAAAAATAAGTTGCCAATTCAGTCAGTCTATGACTTTGCTTTAATTTTTTTCCTCTGTCTCCCCCAGACCTTGGGAATGCATTTACTTTTCATATAAACCACGTGTCTATTTGACGAGACTGGATTTTCAGAATTCATTATGTAACTAAGGTTCTTCATGTGCTTTTTTCAGAGCTAAATCTCAGGATTTTTTCTGACTTTTTCTGTTTCATCGTCTTCAACTTGTCATTCTGAGCGGCCATGTCTACATTCTTGGTTCTGTATTGCTCCATTGACCATCTCTGTTTAGCCTACATAACCAAATCTCTTTTGTGTTCATTCTTAAAATATGCTTCTTTTGAAGTCGGTGTGCTTTAACTGCTTTAAGATCTAAGCATAAAAATGCTATTTAAGAAAAATATCATTGTAGATATTCCATGGATGTGGAGGCCGACAGAAATAGTAACTTGCTCATAGTTATTGACTTAACTACTGGTAAAGCTAAAAATATTTTAGCCTCCAGAATCTTAATCTATTGATTAATCGAATGTTCTGCTTCCTTTCTTAAATATCTACAAAACGCAGTCTGTTCCTCTAATTGCATTTCTGCCTTCCAAAACCCCATATATGCCAAATTCTATTTGGTTTATCAGTTTTATCTGTTGTATTTCACTCTCTCCTTAATCATTATTTATCTAGATTACCCATTCACCAAGGTTGAATATTTGTCCCATTTATCTGTAACTGTTTGCTACGCTGTTTTAAGTATGCTCATGCTGTACTTGCAGTTAGGAAGCCCGTCAGATATTATGCATTTTCAGTGATGAGTAGCTAAGTATTGAGATGGTTTGGAACTAACTGTCTTTTTTTATTCATGCATCACAAAATGTATGTGCCACTGTGTAAAAGGTAACTATTGCGCAGTCAGAACAGTTGTTTATACTATTGGTATGTACTACAGTAACATGGTAACTATAGCAGAAGGTAATTTGCTTTACCAATACATTCTATATAAACTCAGTACTTTGACTTTACTGCAATTTTAGGTCTTCATAATTCTTGAACTGTTTTTCTGTTCCATATCCATGCTTTAGCACTCACATTGCAGCCTCAGAATTAGATGTAGGGGAGCATGAATTTTTGTAACAAGCTGACTGCTGGCGAGGTGTGAGTAGCTGAATTTTGCCAATCCTTCCCCTCCCATGTTTCTTTTTTAATTTAATGTGGAAATGACTTCAGGCAGAATACTCATGACAGTCTATTTAAAGCCAATAGTTGATGAGAATCCTTGGGACCAGAAAAGGGCGGTTTAGTCAGCAGAGGGCTCCCCATCCTGTAATAATAAACGATGTTCCGTGATAACATAGAAAAAAATGGTACTGGAGTTAGGAATTTGTGCAAGATTTCATGAGCCAATTATTTTCTTCCATTTTATCCTTTCTGCTTTAATTTTTCGTGTATAAAGTAAGAGAATGTATCTTCACAGGGTGTTATAAGAATAAAAACTTACTGTTTCTGATCATCTGGGCTACACAGAGGTCTGAAATAATATGAAGCTGTCTGATATAAAGTCCGAATTATTGGAAAGACAGTCATAATTTGAGAAATCTATTTCAAATGCTCAGAAACATTTATGCAGATATTAATTGACTTATGGGTGAAGTTAACTGTGTTGCTGTCCCTGAAAAATTATGAATGGGAAAGATCCACATCTGGATTTAGTTCCAAGCTATCTGACACCATTTTAATGTATGTCTATGCGTGCACGGTGGCTAGGGATCAGATGATGTAGTGGATCTGAAATGCCTTTAACTTTGCAAAATGTGGGTTCCATTCCAGGTACTGACATTGGTCTTGTAGTCTAAGCCAATTAAGTCACTTGGAAGAGCAGGGACTGGTCTTAAGACTGCCTTGTGATTCCATGTGCAGGCCTTAATTTTGAATACTTCAATGTGACTTCTGTCATTAGAGAATGCAAGAGGATGGACAGTTACCATTACAGTCTCTGCTCTGTATATCTTAATGTGTTTTTTCTAAATTTAAACTTTCGTTTCTATAAATGGAAACATATTTGCTAGAGATACTGTTATATTTGTAATTTGTTTTGTAAGGAGCAATAGCTTCAGATTAAAGGTCTTTGAAATCATTAAATATATGTGCATATGACATTATAGTTTTATAGTTACATGTTACATATCTTTTATTTACATATTATCTTTCCACAGGTAAGCTTCAATGTATATTTAGTAATTTCAAATCTACTGAAGTGAGTGTGTAAGTTGAGATATGCATAAATACTTTGAATTGCTGAAGGATAGATTCCTTTGACACTTTTTTATTTCACAGATATTCAAAACATGAAAAATTAGTTGCTCTTTTTCTGTAAGCTGCCTGTCCTCAGGCTAAATAACCTCTAATTTAAAAAGCCTTAAAACTAAAAACCCATTTAGTCAGTTAACCCAAAAGTACAAGTAAAGAATATGATGATTATTTAAAAATAGTCAGAGAACCTCAAAAGAAACTGTTTTGGATGATACCAAATAACTTCTACAAGAAAGCTATTTTTTTACAGTAGTTTCTGTTGTAGTCATTTTACAAATTACTTGGTGTTTAGACTGGCAGAGCTGGAAGTTGGTGCTGCTACTCCAGGTGAGGTATACAGGCAAAGAAATGGGAAACCTGGCTATAAAAAGCATGTGACGAATATTCATGCAAGTAAATTTCTCTATAGGTAAAACATTAAGTTTAATTTCTGTGCATGTAACTCTCATATCTGAAAAATATTTTCATTTCATCTGTTGTTTTAGTGTATCATGAGGCAGTATTTGAATTTTCTACAAAGGTTAGTGCTTTACCGGTTAAGCCTTTTTCAAATTTGATTTAAAGACCTTTCAGTAAATTGAATGTTTCTGATCTGCCACAATAAATCCAGGAAAAAACATGTGTGTTTTTTTTATTAACCAGCCAGACATAAAGTGATATATAACCTTCCTTGTGCATTGCTTATTCCTGCCCTGACACGTTCAGATTGGCTTACTAATTTGTCTTCTATTAATTTTTTTTTATCATACTTATGAAAATATGTTCTTAGGGGAATAAGGTGCAGTGTGTAAGTGAGTTTTGAAGATCTGGAAAATTTATCTGTCGCAACTAAAGATGTTACTTCTCTCACCTTTGTGTTTGCTGGGTAGCCCCACAACAGAACAGTAGTACATGAGTCCTTTGCCTCAGCCACTACTGTTCAAAGGCCAGTATCAGTTTAAATCATCAGTATCAATATCCTTTGCGGAGAGTGAGACAGGCAGACAGAGGTGATATAATAATCTGAATCTCATCTTTCAAATCTGTTCAGCAGTGAACTCCTTTTCTTTTTCTTTTTTAAATAGCCTAAAGTAGTCTTTCCTTGCTTTCCTTATCCCATCTGAAGTATTTGCTTTCCCCAGTCAGACTTTTCAGATCCTAATTCTTCCTTTCCATCTTAACGCTTTTCAATTGCAGACTGTGATGCACACATTCAAACTTAATTTTGGCCTATTTATATGAAAAAAAAAAAACCCAACAAACGAAAAAACATGCAAAGAGTGTCTTACAATTTAACGTCAAGGGTACTCTGACAGGGTGGTATGTACAGGTGCTGCTCCCTTCTTATGACTTTTAAGTCTACCGGGGTTTACATAAGAATGATTCAATTATTCAATAGCATGCTTAATTCCAAATTTAAGTAATAGCGCTCTGGTACATGTGTTTTGATTTAGGTCATGGCCCAGTAGTACGTGATGCAAATGCTAGAATCCAAGGCTACATTTCTCACCGACTTGCACGTGAACAGCAAATTCTAAATGTTTTCCAGAAGAATGCTGGAAAATCATACACGTCCTCGGAGCTTGTAAAGATAGTATACAAGGTAATTGTTGATAAAAAGTTTTTAGATCAAACTAAAGAAAATTGAGGTTATGTTCATAAAATTGTATATAACAGTTTAAGTATTTGAGTGAAGACCACAGTGGCTTTTCAAGAGAGAGCAGGTGGCTGTTTAGCTCCTGCAGTTTTCCTGCCTGAACAACTACATTTTTGTAAGTACACAGCCATTCACATGTTTCTGTAAATCTGTCACTATATGATAAGAATTTTTTCAGTACTACTAAAGCTTTCATATTAAAAAAAAAAAAAATCTTCCAAAGCTTTTTGAAGATTCACTATTTATTGAGCTAGTTTTCTAGTGAATTTTCCTGCCAGACTCATGTTATTTGGAGAAGAACTTTTTAATTTTCAAAAAGAAGGCTTTGCTTTTAGGAAGATAGTGCTGGAGAGTGGGATTTTGAGAAATGTTACTGGTTTTTACCTAATGAGCATTGGGAAATTTTAAGAGACATTTTGTCCTCCTAAAGCTGTTCCATTTTTAAATTGTTTACTCATTTACAGATACTAATTATTAAAGGATATTTAAACCCATGCAAATATTGTCATGGAATAGAAGTGATAGGTATCTGTGGAGAAATGCATCTTTAAATTTGTCTTTAAAAATGCTCAGCTACACTGACAACCCAGTGCAGACCAAGCTCAGAAGAGCACAGCCTTCTTAGTGCTGGCCAAAGTTGACATAATACAAATGGATAATGCAAAAAATGAGCAAAGTAAACAAAAATGTGTTATTAGGCTACTAGTTTAACTGGTGTAAAATTGATTTACTCATTTCAGTTTGTTGTCATTATATGACTAACTGAATGTTCAACATGGCAATTCAGCGAGGAAAATCTATGTTAGTAAACCAGGAGTTCCGTATATTGAAAAAATAATTGGGAGATATTTAAACAAATACAAAATGCGTATTTGTGTTCCCATTAGGACATCCCTGAAAATTTACTTCCAGCAGCAGAGTGTAACCTCCTAGTCCACTTGAAGAAGCTGGAAAAAGAAGGAAAAGTGTGTAAGTTGTGGATGGAGGGGTGGAAGGCAGGTCATTTTAATTTTGCTTTTCTATGTACTATTTCTCATAATATTTTAATGCATTGTTTCCTGGGAAAAATATGTATTTTATGGGATTACATTTTACGTTTCTGCCTTTTCTAAATATGTATCATTATATATATGTGTTCTAGAGATGGTTACAATCACGCAGTGTAAATTTTTGCAATTTCTGATTAGTACAGTACTTAAGTAGAGCAACTATATTTAGTTTACAGTTTTTTCATTTTGCCTTTAGTTTTAGTGAACAAGGTGAAGTATTCTATTTCTGTAATGGCATGCGCATTCAGAAACGTTATCCAGCCAGAAGCTAAGGAAAATATTTATTTCTGTACATTACGTAACTGCACCCAGGACTGTCTACTATTTACTTACTTAATTATAAGTAAATAATTACATGAATATTTAAAACCATTTCAGATTTTCAGCATTTACCAACCTGAATAACAACATGAAATTAGTTTATTTTTTCCAAGTTACCCCCTCTGTTTATTTTAATGATAAATCAGCTACTAGGTACTAATTGTTTGAACAATTGAGACTTAATTTTTGTAGTTCAAATAGACTAAAATCACATGAAGACATTCATTACTGAAGATCAGAAACTTATGTCTTCAAACATATTACATGCAGAATGCCATGGAAGCTTACCAACATGATACTTACTGCATCAACTTTTAAATGTGATCTCAATTCTTGGTTATTAACATACATTATTGACCTCCACATTTCTCCAGTTTGGCTCCACAAGATTCCTCTGGGGTGTCAGATGCTGTTGACCATTTATCCCTTCACTGCTCAAATAGCTCAAGCAACAGCATTTTCTGTTTAGATGAAGTAGTGGATAAATTAACTTTCTCTTTAAAGGTAGACTTGCAATCTTCCCTACAGAAGACTGTGTGTATGCATCTTAAATGTCCAGGAATTAATTTGTCTGAGTAAGCTAGTGACTTTTATCTTTTAAGCCAGTTTTTTTGTTGGGGGTTTTTTGTGCTTTTTTTTTTTTCCCCCAAAGCACACTTTTCATGCTTACTGGACAAAAATAGCTCAGCTTTCCTCAGAAATCACCTTTGAATTTTGAAGAGACAGCAGATAAGGAGCTTCAGTCAGATATCTGTTCACAAAGTAGCAACTGCTTGAAATTATTGGAAAGTTTAAATAACTAGAGGAGATACTAATCAGAATAATTGTTGTGACTGGAGGTCCTTGATTCATCTGTGTGCTCCAGCTTTCCACGAAGCACGAGAAGTGCCCTTTAAAGTTTTTTGGGTTGTTTTGTTTTTATCTTCAATTTGTGCTCAGAGAGAAAGAGGAAAGCAATCTCATCAGAACACTTGGGGTTTTTCTGTGCTGACCTCTGCAGTGTGGAAACAGTTGTTAAATTTTTAAATACAAGCTTAGACCCAGATCCATGATAAACACTTACCATCGTGTGACCTTTGTCAGTTTTTCAGTTCAAATTAAGGACATCTGTTAAGGAAAATGGATTCTGTTGGTTCTGAGCCTGTAGCACACAAATGCTTGCGTACTCATGTTATTTGGTTTTGATATGATATCCTTTCCACATAGCCTGAGTTGCAGTATTTCAAGTTTTGTTCTCATTATGAAAGACTTGAGTTGCAGTCGTAACACTGTCTGCTTCATTTTCACACATATCTTTCCAAAGAAACATGTCGTCAGTATGGGTAATGAATGTGGGAAGCGTATTACAATGTTACAAGAGAGCTACTCCATGCAAATTATGGCCAGGTGCTCTCTGTTGCAGTCATTAAATCACCACTTCATTCTAGGGCTTGCAGTTTATGTTAGTACGTAACTTCTATAATTTCAGTTAGGAGTGATACTGCCTTTACAGATTTGCTTTTCTCACTTTAAACAGAAAAATAATGTCTTGTGTACAGGAGCATGGCACAATATGCGCACGTAAGCTTCCTCCCGTGTTTGGATCTAAATATCTTGGTCATTGTTTCACATTTTGAAAACACAGCTGATGAAGAGATAAAAATAATTTGACTGTTCTTAATTTAGCAGCACAGATTTTTTTTCTCTAAAGTTCATAAATTTCAGAAAATGCAACAAATGCTTTGCTACCTCAAATTTCTTAATGTCTAGAAATGTTAATATTCTGAACTTTAAATAACTGTAGGATCATTAAACCCTTTTTTATTAATCATTCTTTATATTGCTAGGTTACATTGTGAAACAGTTAATGTTTATCACCTTCCAGTAAAACTCAGCACTGGCCTGAAGGAAACTATTCCAATAGTTTTAATAAAAAATGACATGTACAGACATACATATGCATGTACAGGTTAAATTTGAGATAGTCTGATGTTTATATGTAGCATCTAAGTGTTAGTTTGTGACTAATTCGGTCTTATTTTCTTAACAGTACCTGAGGCGTCTCCCAGCTTCAGATGGAGGAACAATTTGTAAGTTACGCAAGATTGCTCAAGAATATTTTTAGTCTGCACGGTTGCTGAATGAAAAAATATAATGATGAGCTCAGACAATATGTAAAATAAAAACTAATTCTTCTTTCTTTTTTTTTTAAGAGGTGGTAACAATTTTAAAGCAATGTTACAGTCAGTTAACTAATGTTTTTCATATTCTATTTTATGCGAATTTTAAAAATAACCTGATAGGTGCTGAGTTCATAAAATGGAATGAGTGTGAAGAAATGAATGTTACCTCTGTTATAAAATACCCAGCTTTATAATCGGTGGCAGAAGACAAATAGCAAGGTCTCATAAACTTGATATTACAATATTATAAAGCAATATTATAAACGTAATAAATCAGATATATAAAAATATCTAGTAAAAAGAATAGGTGTTATTCTAAACCTGTTTTCATTTGCTTGTGCTTTTCAAAAAGAGATTTTCTAGTAAGTTACCAGTACATTCTAAAAACCAAGTTATTTTTGTTAACAGATGTAAATACTGGGGTTTATATTCCTTTTCTAATTTAACTGCCTGTGCACATCTTAGCTGGCCGCTCACTGGAACAGGTTTTAACAAACGCTGAAAGTAATTCCAGACTTCTGTGTTTTCTGGTGGAAACACCATTTCTATGGAATTCATTCAAAGGATTCATTAATTTCAACTAATCAATATCAAAAAATGCAGAGTTGGAGCAGACTCTTAAATTCCGTATCTTATATAATTCTGCAAGAATGGGATTAAAAAGCTGTATAAATTGAGATATGTGTTATACACTATAGGAAGTTAAGTTTGTCTATCACTTTATAACTAACAAGCTTCAAGTTTTGCTGTTAAATCCGTTTAAACTAAAAATATTTTAACTAAAGGTTGTATTTGGTTTTAAGATACTGTATACTGTATTAAAGTACAATGAAGATTAATTTAAACTGCAAGTTCAGTTCTCTGTGTAACTTAAACTTTCAGAATAGTGTATAAATATTTGCATTACTTTGTGTATTCAAAGTGTGTGAAGCTTTTATGACTTATGCCCTTCTTTTAATGCTGGCTCAACCTTAAAAAAAAAAAATCAGATATGAGATGTTTGAAAGTACCAAAGACAAATATATGTCCTTGAAAATCCTTGAAAACCTTTCACCATTCAGTCCTGTACCTTCATTTGTGAAACATGCGTATGTTTGGGTATTTAAGGCTGTATTGGGTTTGCGTGGCCAGGTTTTGGTAGTGGGGGAGCTACAGGGTTGGCTTCTGTGAGAAGCTGCCAGAAGCTTCCCCCATGTCCGATAGAGCCAATGCCAGCCGGCTCCAAGACGGACCCGCCGCTGGCCAAGGCCGAGCCCATCAGCGACGGTGGAAGCGCCTCTGGGATAACAGATTTGAGAAGGGGGTAAAGAAGACCTGCGCAACTGCAGGTCTCCTAGTTTTGCTTCCTTTTATATTTTCTATTTACTTGCATTTTTCCATTTCAGCCACTTTTTTTTCCCCTTCTCCCACAAACTTCATTTTTTTCAATTCCTTTTAGATTGTTTCTCTCTTCCTAATTACTCAGAAGCTTTTACATGGATTTCTTGCTATTAATAATCGTTTTCCTGTAGCTATTTTATTAATTTATACCTTTATTAATTATTACCTTTTCCATTGGTAGGAACAAAAAGGTAATTACCACTGTTTTCTTTTTTAAAACCTTAATTCACATGCTCTGAATGATGTCATTTTGCTTCAGGAAAACAGAAAGATCAGTGACATGGCACAATTTTCTGTCACGAGGTCTGAGAACCTAAGCCAGCAGGAAGCTGGTATGAAGAGGTGATGTCTCATTAACTTTCTGAGGTAAAGAAGAAATCTGCTGGCAGGCAAAACGTCACTGAACCATTTTCTTTTGTTCTACTATACTTCGTTTTCAAATACACAGAAATGGCTTTATAATTCAGTTGAAGTATCGTTGGAATTTGCAGGCAGGAAAGAAAGCGAAAGGATACATATCAGAGACTTCCATGTTCCGTGCTGTGCTGCAGCAAATGCCTGACATTCTTAAAAAATCAGGGAAACTGCAGTTTAACCAGACTTGTCATTGATGATCGTGTGTGGTGTCTCTGGAATATTAAAAGCAGAGATGGCACTGTTACTAAGATGTGTATACAATACAGGATACTTTTATCAGCTATGACATGTTGTTAAAATCTTAAGACTCCTTGTTGATTATGAGATCATAAATCAGAAGGAGTGTTTGTTTATTTAAAAATAGAATGGTAATGTAAGCTATATGCCATGTGTGTATAAAAACGGGGATTAGCCTGTTTACATCCCTTGTATTGAATACATTCATCCGTGCAGACTGCATTAAAAGTTAAGAATAAAAACAGGGGAAGGGGCAATTTCTGTGTCATCAAGCTAGAAGGGCGAATGTCATTTGCTGGGAACAGAAGCTGGAAGAAGCACAAATTGCATTTCCAGCCTTCCTGCCAGCTAATTTTAAGATTCTGCCCTGAGAGGCAACATTATTTATTAGGTTTAAGACGTAGCAAAGAAGTTTGATGGTATTTATAACCTTTCTGTGGTCTTCTATTCTGTTTCTTGCTAACGTGCTTATTTACATTTCGTTTAAAACGTCGTTCTCGGTTATATCTTTAAGGATGTTTGATGACGAGTGAATTCAGGAAAGGTTCCCAACTAGGAAGGGCATTGTTCTCTTTGTGTCTGTGGCTGCGGGTGCAGTAGTACGCTTGCCACCGAATCCTCCACAGCCTGGCCACCTGAAACGGTGTATGGGGTTTGCGCGGCAAGGTTTTGGTAGCGGGGGGGCCACAGGAGTGGCTTCTGTGGGGAGATGCCAGAAGCTTCCCCCCATTTCAGACTGTTGGGAACTTCCTTCCTAAATGACGGGATCATTTTGAGGCCTAGTATGTCAAAATATGGACATCTGGAAAGAAACCTGGGAAACGTAGACCAGCAACCCATTGGCAAGAAGCAGACTGAGGGCAGACAGTCTCGGGTGTTTTAGATCACCCCACTCTGCCTAAAGAGCTATAGGAAACATCACGGGGTAGAAGAAGGAACTCCAATCCAAGGAAGGTGTGGGAACTGTTCAGGTGAGGCAACAGGTTGCCTTGTTTTCCATTTCAGTACAGCAGTTTACACTGTATCGTCAGGACAAACACACAACCAAGCTGAAACCACGGAGCTCTGAACCTGTACGAGAGGACTTTGAGCCAGGCACCCGAGGCACTTGCTGCTTATAGCTGGAGAAAAGGGTGTCTTGTCCCAGTTAAGTCCTGTTTGTTATGTTCTGCGGAGACGAGATGACCTGATTTCTTTTAAGGCTGAGGTGGGAAATAGATGCAAGACTACACGGCAAAAAGGATTCTGGTTTTTATCCCACCGCAACGTACTTCACGGGTGCGGAATGTTACATCCGTGACTACACGGTATGCAGTCGGGGATATACTTTCACATTGTTATTGCTGAAATAATGTTGTTCTTACTTTAGACTTAACAAAATACTGGTGTGGCCAGGGGATGAAGAGATCTCTAAGATATAAAACATCTTGGGACTGAAATATGAATGCTTGTGCTGTTTAAACTTTTATATTTAAAAAAAAAAAACCTCCAACTGTGAAGGGAAAAATTTCTGTAGCCTTTTCTGTATTTGTAAGTACCCCAGATCATCTCTGAATACCAAGTATCCCTGTCTCCCAATTTAATAAATTCATACAAAACCTCTGAGCATCTTCACGGCTGATGAAGATGTTTCACAGTTGAAAAACCTGGGCATACACCAGTCAGTCAGCTCCATGACTCGCTCACTGCTCCCTATAGTAGGAAGAAACCAACCTACCAACACCAGCTTATACAATGTATTTGGTGCACGCTCTCCATTCCGGCAAGGCAAAGCCGTACCGAATTGTTGCATCTTAACCTCTTCCCCTGTATTCATTAGCTGCTGGCAGCAAAAGCTAAACTTCAGCCATGAATTACTGCTTTTCTTGATCTGTCTTCTCCATATAACCATTGGGAGCGTCTGTCAGCCAGAAGCTTTAATACATAAAAGTTGTGTGAATTTTGGGGGGTTTGAAGGACAGCTCAATTTGGCCCGGATGTTTTCTGCATCAGTGTTGATTTCTCAGACCTCTTCATTCATCTGGTTTAACCTGGTTAACAGCGGCCTGTGATAGGGTTGGGTTTTTAATCCACATCTAGCCTCCCTTTTAATCTCTCTCCCGACTTCCCGGTTAGAGTCACAGAATCATGCTTTGGGATGGAAGGGACCTTTAAAGGTCAGCTTTTCTGCCCTTCTGCTTCCATGACCCCAGAGCCCTTGCTGCCGTTACCGGGATAAGGTATGTTATTTCTGGCCGGACGGTATAACGTAA